TCCCCTCTCCTTTAAGAAAGGAGGGAGAAGCCATAGATATATTACACGCAAGGGGAATTCTACCCGTGATTCCTGTCATTAAGGAGTTGTTAAGGGAGATTAACAACTGTAATCAGACTTATCACGACAACGAGCCTTAGTTATGACGTCATCCATGTTTACTTTATCTTAAGAGGGAAAAGAATATCGTGAAGGACATGTACTCTGGTGGTAACAGTAACAATGCCATTGATTATTTACTTAATAGTAACCACTGACTACTTATTTAGCAGTAAAGATACCATTGACTATTTATCTAATAGCAACGACTGACTACTTATTTAATAGTAACGGTAACAATGACTACTTATTAAATAGTAACAGTAACAATGACTGCTTATTTAACAGTAACGATACCATTGACTACTTATCAAATAGTAGATACCATTGACAACTTATCTAATAGTAATGATAATAGTAACTTTATTTAACAGTAACGATACCATTGACTACTTATTAAATAGTAAAGATACCACTGACAACTTATCTTATAGTAATGATAATATTGACTATTTATGTAACAGTAACGATAACACTAACTACTTAATCAACTTTAACGATACCATTGACGAGTTATCGATTATATCCATCACGTGATTCTGGATAACATAAGCATGGTAGAAGGAATAAGAAAGGGGATAAAAAAAGAAAAAGGGAGAAAAGGAAAGTTGCAACAGTCTAACAGTATGCAACAATCCCGTGGAGTTTTGCAACATGGTCGTACGAAGGGTTGCTATGTTATTATTTTTTTGTTTGTTTGTGAAGAAATCTTGCTATATTGTACGATTGTGTGACTGGGTTTCATAATCTCAATTGCATACATGTGATGGTATTTGACTGCTTGTCTGCATAATGTAATGAGTTGCATAAACTGCTTTGCAAAATGTTAATTGCTAATAATTTTGCCAGATGAAGAAAATGTAATATAATTGCACATGTTAATATATAAATCAAGTAAATAACAGAGAGAAAGAAAGGAAGGGGAAGATAAAAGAGAGAGAGAGAGAGAAGAGAGAGAGAGAGAGAGAGAGAGAGAGAGAGAGAGAGAGAGAGAGAGAAAGAAAGACAGAGAGAGAGATTGAAAGAAAGACAGAGAGATAGAGAGGCAGTCAAATAGATAGATACATAGAAAAAATAGACAAAAAAAAAAAAAAAAAAACAGAAAGAAAGAAAGAAAAAAAACAGAAAAACCGACAAACAAATATAGAACAAAACCAACAAAAACAAACACGCTTTTAGTCCCCTCTCCCCCTCTCCCCCACCCCCCAACCATCGAGAGAGCTCCAGATATCTGCTTACCCGCAATAAACCCTTCCGGAGCGAGGCGGACGATGGCTATGATGTCACCAAAATCATCTGTATTTTACTCCTCCAATGCGGGAACTTCGCGAGAAAATTGTCTTTGGGTGTTTTTTTCTTTCTTTTTTTTTGCTTCTTTTTTATACTTGTTGATATTTCTTGGGATTTTCTTCTTCGTGTTTTTTAAATATTTGTGTATTGTTGTTTTAGAGAAGGTTTGTTTTTCTTTTATTATTCGTAAGAAAAATAATGATACCATGTATGTAATTTTACACACATATAATATTTTATAATATTTCATTATCATCTTATTTCTGTGTTATCATGTTTTATTATTATCTTTATTTTTACGATTTCGATTGCCATTATCAAATTCTTTATCATTATTATCATCTGTATTATCATTATAATAATTATCAATATTAATATCATTATTATCTTTACCCTTTCTCTCATTATATAATATTGTTATTATTACTCTTATAACTATTATAAGTATTATCTTTGTCATAATTATTATCATTATTTTTATTACTAACATCATGACCGCTGTCTTGCTGTTGCTGTTATCTTTATCACCATCACCATCCTTATTTTCATTACCATAATTATTATCACATCATTACTGACACTTATTGCCATGCATTTACTCGGTTGCCTTATCGCCCCCTTGACCACCATTATAATCAACAGCATATCAACTGCAACGCCCGTTATTTCCCTTTCTGCCTCAACATTCCCTGGAGACTAACCACCGCCCCCCTTCTCCCACAGGAGCCAACGGGCTGCGGCGCCGGGGACGTCAGACCTACACGCGGTACCAGACCCTCGAGCTGGAAAAGGAGTTCCACACAAACCATTACTTAACTCGCCGGAGAAGAATAGAGATGGCGCACGCCCTGTGCCTGACCGAGCGACAGATCAAGATTTGGTTCCAGAACCGGAGGATGAAGCTGAAGAAGGAGATCCAGGCGATTAAGGAGCTTAACGAGCAGGAGAAGCAAGCGCAGAGCCAGAAGATGGCTCAGCAACAACAGAGCGCCAGCAATGCCCAGTCCATGACCTCCAGCCAGGGAGCGGGAGGGGGGGCTGGCGCGGACCAGAACCCTCCAAACCCCACGCAAAACTAACGACACAATTTCATCTATAAGCTAGTTTTAAGGTGAGTACAGTTCTCCCAAATATTCTTTTGGCTTACGCTTTTCTATGCCTTGGCTTGTCAGGGGGGACAGATCGCGCAGCAGAAGAGGGTTGGGGGAAACAGAGCTTTTAGGGGGGTCATATCTCAGTTCAACTTCAGATTTCGGGATAAATACCAAGGAACTTTGCAGAACTTTGTGTTGTTGGGGATAGATAGAATTTCGGAGAAGGAGGAGTGAAAAAGAAAAAAAACTTCGACAACGTAAACAGTTTACCATAAAGAATCTCAAGTCGGCGACACGTTAAAGGCAGCGCTGTCATTTATCATGCCTGGCCAGACGTTATGACGCAATCACACTCCTTATCATAATAGACGCACGAGTGAAATATATCCCGGGTGGCAGGAGGAGGCAGCAGGCACACACATTTACACACGCCGCCGGTCCATCGACGGCCTCCTTCTAACATGGACTCCATTCTATTCCACCAGAAACACAAGGCACCTTCAATGTTATAATCGTTTCCTCACTCTTTCCGTCTCCCTCGCCTTCGATTGCTCCAAAGCGGAATCCCCGGCTGGTTGCTCTCTCTTCCTCGGGCGACTGCTAATTGTTTGCTCGAAGGGTCATCTCGGGTTAAAAGGGGCTGCCATATGAGCGTAGGTGAGAACTGAACTGTAGAGATCGAGGCCATTGTTGTTGTTCCTGGCGGGGGGAGGGGTCACGGGAGGGGAGGGAGGAGTACGGGAGCCATTCGGAGAGGGGCGAAAGGGGGCGCCAACCCCCCTCTCAGAGTAGGAGGGGCGTCGATCCCCCTCGTCCCCCCACGCCGAAGCCTCCCCAACATCTGCGCGGCGACCTACGGGAGGGCGTGAGGGAGGGGCTTCGTGAGGGGGGGGGGGACTCACAGGTGAATGTGAAGCGTCTCGCCAGCGGAGTTGCTAGACATAGGGTTGGGAGAAAGGCTCTTGGGGTCTGCACGTCGCTGCTAGGGGGTCAACTGCTAGGTGAAGGGACGCTCTTATTCACATCATCCATCACATATCAGAAAAAAGAGAATGAGAGGAGAAAAAAATGGCAAAGAAAACATCGAAAAAGATCCCTCGGAGGCAAAGGCTGCACACCGACGCACATGGCCTCACGTCGTTCAATAAGCCCCCCGCCCCGCCCCCCGCGCCTCGCCTCCCCCGCCGTCTCTCTCTTCGGCGGGTCCTCCTACGTCGGCCTCCTCCCTCCCAGTCCTTCTCGAGCTTGTGGGGTGTCCTGATCTCCTTCAGGATGGTGGTGGCGGTACAGCAAAGTGCTTGCAGGTTCTCGAAGCGTTCCCGGTGTATGTGGGGGCCGTAGGGCTAGCCGTCTCAAGCATGGAGCGAATTTCAATAAGGTAATCAATACGAGAGACTCCGCCTCCAGCCCTACCCCTGCCCCCCGTCCCTCCTCTTCCCTCTCTCACTCACCTCTCTATCTCTCTCTCACTCTCTCTCCTCCTCCTCCTCCTCTCCCCCCGGTCGCGCTCCCCCTCGCATCCCCCCCTGCCCCCCCGCCCCCCCCCCTCCCGCGAAGCGCCTCCCCCCGCACAGAAATTCTAGCTTTCCCATGCTCTCTGGGCGAGCCTGAGGTAAAAAACGGGAAACTCCAGATTGCCGCTTGGCTGGATATGTAACTTCGTGTTATTTAATGGGAATGTTTTGCATGTTGTGTCTCCTTTGTTTATCGTATTTTAATGTACATTCTGAAGAGGAGACAAAGTACATTAGTGTACAGAAGAGTCTTGGTCCATTAATTTCTGTCGAAGGACGGACTAACGTAACAAAGAGAAGACAGAACTTCTAGCGTTATGGTTTGCTATTGGCTGCCTTCGTCAACGCCGTGTTTTGGCGCGATGAATATTTCACCCTTTGTCAAGCTCGTGCATTCATTTGGATTCGATTGTGTGTGTCCAGCGGACCGTATCAAAGACAAGTTTTCATTCCATTACTTTTTCTTTCTTTGTATCGTATCATTTTAGCCCTTGAGGCAACTTGGCACAAGAGAATGCGTGCCTACATCCGTCATTAGGATTCAGTACTTGTCTCTTTTACATTTAGATGACTCAATGTTTTTGTTTTATTTATTTATTTATTTATTTATTTATTTATTTATTTATTTATTTTTTTTATTTTATTTATTTATTTATTTATTATTTGTTTATTTATTTATTTATTTATTTATTTATTTTATTTTATTTTGTTTTATTTAGATGACTCAATGTTTTTGTTTACAATGTTTACACTCGATTACACTCGAGGCTCGGAAAACGCGAACGACCCGGCTGTCCCGCGGCCACTGTGCATCTGAGGAGCCAAACGCATTCGCTTACCGACGCCACACGAAGTCTATTACCAAACACATTTTTTTTTTCTTTTCTTTTAAAATCTATAACCTAAAAGTTTGCTTTCGGTGTTGACTTGTATCGATCACCATAAAAAAAGAAGCAGAAGAAGAAGAAAGATGAAAAAAAAGAAAGTAGTAATTTACTCCTATCAATAGTCGTAAAGATAATGATGTCTGTTGTATCACTTGGCATTTGGGGTTCTGGTTGCTACGGGGTCGCGTCTAATAATGTGTCTTGGTGATTTTGTTATGTCTTGTGTGTCTCATATATATACAAAAAAATCAATCCCTGGAAGACATTTTTTGTTGTATTGAATGACGTCACGATGATAGTTCCATTTCTGTTTGGAAAGGAAATTGAAAACGACTCGTAATTCACTCTAGAATAACGACGATGATAGTCATTTCGTCCAAATTAATGTTTTGGTTCCTAAGATTATTGTTGTAGTTGTTTTTTTTTTCTTTTCTTGTTTTGGAAACGTGGCTTAACCAAACTTTCACGTAATATATTTTTTTTCCACATATCCCCCTCTTACGCTTGTACAAGAAAAAATAAGAAATAAGTGAGAAAACGTATAAAAATAACAGAAATAAAGAAAAATAAATGAGAGAAAGTATAAAAATAATAGAAATAAAGAAAAGAAAATACATAAAAAAGATAAAGAAAGAAAAGGACCAAATCACGAACCACACAACACGTCCTTGGTTCTCGTCCTGGACATTTTTCTGTTACGTAAATACACATTCCACTCCTATTACGTACAAGCCTGAAGAGACATCTGGCTTCAGCAGTCCATCCCGAGAGCTTGGCATCAGCTCTAGAGACATCATTAATTTTTTTGGGACGTAAGGGATGGGTTATTTTTTGCCATTACTGAAATTACGTTCGTATCCTGGTCGATAGGTATTAACAGGCCATTAACTTCAGATCAGCTGTTCCGTAACCCAGTTTTCCAAGAAGTTTCGTCACATGGGACATTCGGTGGGTTCATGAGAATTTATTTAGATTAAAAAATAGGTAGAGATATTTTTTTTACTTATTAGTTGAGAGTTATTGACAATAAGATAAACTAGGATATAGAAAAGGCAAAAATGGTCTTACCTATTTCAGTATATTACAAATCATATGGTTTTCTCTCTCCATAAAAAACAACAGTCTTCCTTCTAAATCCTTTTCCGTAAGAGCAAGCAGCAAACATTCCTTCTTTCAAGCAATATAAACCAGACAAACATGCATTTTTCCTTTGCCTAAATTGCAACGACCTCCAACATACGAGAGAATGGCCTCAACTACATCTCCAGTAACAAATAAGTCGTTACCTCGTTACGTTTCGAGTTCAACCTCAGTCCTTGATTTCTCCCTTCCTCTCTTTCTCTCCGGCACTCATCACGTTCCTCCCACAGACCTCTTGTCCTCCCATTTTCCCCTCGTTCGCTCTCTATCTCCTTCCCTCCCTCCCTACTCCAGCCACCCTCTCCTTCTCTCTCTCTCTCCTCCCTCCCTTCCTCCTGCTCCAGCCACCCTCTCCTTCTCTCCTTTCCTGCTGCCTGTACTCTCTCCTTCCCCTCTGCAACCATCTCCTCCCCTCCCTCCCTGGCACATCCCCCTCCGCTTCCCCTCCCTCCCTGCCCCATCCCTCCACCCACGACCATTTACTCTTGCTCCTTCTCGCCCCAACTACGCCCTCGTGATCCCTCATTTGTCGAGGGCATCAAGCTCCATCAGGGCAGCTAACGAGGGGCATAATCCAGTCCCCACAACTCCTGCCCTTCTCCTCTGCACCCCTCCCCCCTCCCTCCCTTTCCTCTCCACTCGCACCCTCCTCCTAGTCCCCCTACCCTTCCTCTTATCCACCTCCCTTCTCGCTCCCTCCTCTCCATCTCTTTCCTCTCCTTTCCTATCTCTTGTCTCCCTGTCCTTCCCTATCCCTTTCCATGTCCCCATCCCATCCTCCCCCCAATCCCTTCTCCATCCCCATCCCCTTCCTCACCCCATCCCCAATCCTTCTCATCCCATTCCCCATCCCCAATCCCTTCTCCTCCATCCCCTTCCTCACCCCCATCCCCAATCCCTTCTCCTTCTCCATCCCATCCCCATCCCCACCCCCCTCCCCTCCTTCCTCCCATCCCCCCCTCCCCCTTCCCCTGCCCCTGGCCCCTCGACCCGCCATCACGAGACCTCGAAGCCGCCCAGACCCGACGTTTACAGCCCCGTCAGTCAATTAGCACGTCACCTGAGCGACCCAGGACCGTCAACAAGCGATTAAGAAGTTCGAGTCCGCGGGTTTTACGGGACTCGGGTTACAGCAAAGGGCCCAGTCGAGTGTTTTTGTTTGTTCGAGCCGGCACCACGAACGTCCTGCGGCGGGTTCTGACGCTGCGACCTGTCTGGGGCCTCTGTTTTCAGCGCTGGCGTGGGCGGGGTGGGGAGGAGGGGCGGCTGTGGGTGTGCGTTTTGGTTGAATTGGTTGGGGTTTTATTATTATTATTATTGTTATTGTTGTTATTTATTACTATTATTATTATTATTATTTTTTATTATTATTATTTTTTTATTATTATTTATTATTATTATAATAATATAATTATTATTATTATTATTAATAATAATAATATATTATTATATTATTATTATTATTATTATTATTAT